CCTCTAGCATTCTTACAATTTTTCGTGAGATTTTGCATTCAGCTAAAGTAGTGAAGCAGTATTTGTTGTTTAGGTACCTAGCAACAATTGCACGCAATAATACTTACTAGCTGAGTCACGATCGCTCTCTAAGACGTTTCGTGGTACTGCCAAATTGTGCAAGCACAATATCAAACACGCCGTTCCCAAGATAAAACAGTATCGATAAGACACTTTGAATACATCCATAATATGGCTACTATTGTCAACTCTCGAAATAATCACATTAAACTTCTAGTATCAATTCTTTTCCAACAGTATTTGATAATATTAATAGTACGAAATTTGGTCTTAATAAAAACATAAATAAAGGGATATTTGTTTCCGCACTTTCTCTCTACTTGTAAATCCATTTCCTAGAAATACAGAATTATTCACCCTCAACAGCGACTAGAGTATAATATAGAAATGAAGAAAAAAATTGCAGATCTGGTGAGTAATATTGACCTGTAAGGAATTAATGAAGGTTTTGCTACGCTCCAAAGAGACCTCGTCGAAGTTCATGACTGAATTGGAGTTGTTGGTGTTATTAGAAATTATAAGTAAAGAATGAATGAATTTAAGAGATAGAAAAGAAAACTTGATGGTAAAGATGTAGCCTTCTTTGGTTGGTTGTTGAGAAGAAATTAAGAAGAAAGAAATAGTTGAAAAAGAGGATGAAGAGAAAGAAAAAGATGAGAGAAAGAGTGGAATTGTGAGTTGTTTGGTAGAAGAGAAAATGAGAGGAAAAAGAAGATAGAGAGAGTATGATTTTATCTTTCCACTTATGAAATAGATAATTATATCCCTAGTCACAGTAATAAAACTTTTCATTCTAAATGAAAAATAAATATTTGTTTAAAATGTTAAGATATAATGTTAATAGTAAATATATAATTTTATATCGATGATTACATATATAGATTTAATTAAAATGTCTAAAAATATTGAATTATAATTGAAATATTGAATTAAATAAATTGGTTAATATTTAAACATGAGTTACCTTAATGATGATGAAAACATATAAAAATAATGTTTTTAGGTCCATGAGTGACTCAAAATATTATGTAGGGAGATATATTTAGTTATAAATAATGAATATAATAATAGTTAGATGATATGAAAGAAATATGTCAAACATAATAAGATAAAACAAAAAATGGACAAACATGTCAAGATAAAAAAGAAAAAAAACAAATATATTAAGATAAAAAAAAGGGCAAAATTGTCAAAATACAAGATAAGATCATTAATAATCATTTTCTCCCCACAAGTGAGAAGAAGAGTTTTGATGTGGGATCCATACAATTTTTCCTCCCTCCTCCCTATTTCTCCCTTCTACCTGAGAGAAATTGTCAAACTCTCTTCCTTCTCTCTTTCCTTCTTAAATCACCTTTACCAAACAAAGCAATAGAGAGAGGAAGGAAGAGAGAAAGTGACTTATGAGGTGTGATGTGATGGTTAGTGAATGAGCGAAAGTTTTTGAGTATGTATTATCTCGATGAATAGGTGAGGTTATTATACTTGGTTTTTAGGGGGAAAAGTCATTACAAATATAGTAGAAAGATTGAATTATTTTTTATTTTGCATTCTTTTATGACTCATTTGTCTCTTCATTAATGGAGAAGATTCTTACTCAAATTATTTTTGGATTTGTTTTTAGTAATATCCCCACGTGGCAGGTGGGTTAGTTCATTCACGCCAACCTTCATTTCACATATTTATCACTGTCCTCTACTGTAGAATAGAACCCTATCTCATGGCTCCATCTTCCACCATATATATCATTAACATTGTTTCTTTCTTACATTATCTATCATTCATATTTTTAAATTATAATTTAATTTAATATATATAAATCTACCAATAATTCAAATCATTGGATTTCTCTAGAATTGATGGCTAAGACGTGAAGTAAGTTTAAAAAACTTACTCTTCTATCCTCTTATTTATTTAATCAATTATGAGAAAAAATATATACACAAAAAGTGTATTAGTTTTATACATTATCACTATATAATTTATTATTCATGTTTAATTATTAAAAAATAATAATTTAAATTAATAGTAGATAATGTATTAATTGTATATATCATACGTAGATATTACATTCTTCAATTGTACACATACAAAAAAGAGAAAATATAGGATGTTAAATAAATCCATATGATACATTCCAAATATGCGTGTATGTAGGTCTCGACCACAACGTTGCAACTTGCACTAGCTACCTAATAACACCTACCTTAACTACTTCATTCACAAGTTACATTAATTAATTACTCCGGGTTATTGTCCCTCACTGCCAAATCTATTATACTATAAGAAAAAATGATCTTCATTATTAGTCTTGAATATATGTCATCTTCTTATAAAGTTTTCTCACCCAAATACTTCCACCAACTACCATGCATAGTCTCATTGTATCATTACCATATAAATTCATATCATACATCAAACCATCAACTATTATGCATAGTCCACATTGTATCATTATCCTCTACATTCATATCATACATCAAAATAACATAAGCATGTTACATTTATTAACCATTCATTTTTTATCAAACACTTAATCATATTCACATATTTACATATTCATTTATATTAATTTATCTTAATCATCAGATACATATCTTTAAAATTATACTCAACAATTAATCATCATTATCATACCTCAATATTCATGAATAATTCAATTAGAATGAATATAATTATTATATTTAAGGGTCATTTATGATTTCATAAAAATATTATTATACACATTTATTCTCATATTTTTTTCCCTCCAAAAAATTTCCTTTATTTTCCTAGATTAACTCTTATATAACTTATATTCTGATTAACAATCATATTATCATATTATGCACATTCCTTAAAATATTGTGAAAACAATTATATTAATATCTCATACTCTGATTAGCAATCCTATTATTATCCACATTTTTTATATATTCATTTATATTAATTTAAAGCAATGAGATTATACGGGTAACATGTGTGTTTTAAACCATGCGAATGCATGATTCACATGTGTGTTCTTGACAATACAAATGCACATTGGACATGTCTTTTAACTATATGAATGTTCATATAATATATGTCTTATTAATCATACGACAAGAAAGTACTATCTCGTGCGTATGCACGGGTAATTTGCTAGTAAACAATAAATTTAAGTCCTAGTATATGATAAAAATGTAAATTTTGCCTCCTTGTGTCTATCAAGGTGTATAAATCACAATTTAAAAGATATTCTGAAAATCCATTATTAATGTAATTTATACTAAAACAATATATAAATTTGAATATTAATTTTGAGTTATATCAGGTAACTTGGAATATTCAGATATCTCTTCATAAATTAGAGAGTAATAATTATTTTTATCTAAAATTTTAAATTCTTATGAATTGGTAATAAAATAACTTATAAATAAATAGAGAAAATATAAAAACATCATTTTGTCTAATATGAAAAGTTGTGAGAACCATTTTAAAAAATTTGAAAGAAAATGTTAAGCCACAAGTTTATTTTAAAATTGTGGCTATCACGGTAGTTGGAATGTCATGGGAAACAACATTGGCAAGTGGTTGGAACGTCATAGCAAACAAACAATCATGATCTCCAATTTTCGAATCATGATCTGTTGTCTCCATTTAGTATCTTAATAGTATCTCATACCAATCAAAATCAAAAAGTGACATTTAATTGAATAAAAAAGTTATAAAATATAAAAGAATATTTTATATGAGGAGGGATTGAAAAAAACCTACTCCACATATTGATCATTCAATCTTTGAAAATCTAATGATTTAAATATACTCGTCAATTCAAATCATTAAATTTCCCAAAAATGAATTCATTGTGAATTCAAATCATTAGATTTCCCAAAAATGAATAATCATGATGTAAAGTAGGTGAATCCCTCCCCATTTTATATTATTCAATAAGAATCCCTCTTCCCAATTTTCTCATCTTCCTTCCCATCCAATCTCCCTCTTATACTTTAAGAAACATCCAAGTTCTAACAACATCCTAACCTCTCTCCAAAGTCCAAACCTCCAACAAATAATAAAACGCTTACAATAATTTGAGATTGATGCACAAATAAAACGCTTTCATTGTATGTAGAAGATGAAAAAATGGTGTTGAAACTGAATTGTTGGCTAACACATCATCTTTGTTATCATGGCAAAATGTTCTATTTTGCTTATACGTCAAAATTCAATCATCTATATAACTCATTTCATCTTTTATTCCTACATTGTAATTTACATCACACCCATTTATCTCCTTATATCTCTCTAGAGCGTATTTGTTCTTGAGGTTTTGGAAATAATTGCACAATAAGTAGATATTATTAGAGCAAACAATTTAATTACAAATTTTGTGTAACTTTTTCGATTTATTACCAGGGTAACTTTATAAACTGTGTTTCATTATATGCAAAATTGTGACCAACAAAAAACACTTTCTTAAAAGTTATGGACATTTTCCACGATTTTAATTTTTTTATATTATTTTTTGAAGTCGTGTAATGACAATTTTCATTGTATATTAATCGTAAATCCAGTGGTTCCCTTTAGTTTAAGGTGTAAAACAATAACCACTAGTACATGAAATTAAGATTAAGATACACGACTTCAAAAAATAATATATAAAAATTAAAATCATAATCAGTGTCTGCAACTTTCAAAAGAGTAACAAAGTCTAGGAATTAAACACAATTTTTATAAAATTGCACGAAATTGATATTAAACCAAAAAATTATTCCAAATATGTATTTAAATAGTAAAACTACTAATTTGGTTCAAATGTAAATTTTAGGTGTTGGAATAGACATAATTATAATAAGATTATTTAGATAGTTTAAAATATAAATAAAAAGGAATGGTAACAAATACATTTCATTAAGCAAAAATAATTTCCCCCTAAAAGTTCACATAAGAAAAAAAAATCAAATTATTAATTCCAATTTAAAGATATAGCCGATTTTACAGATGAACCAAAAGTCAAATATATTTGGGCATCCTACGATTCGGCAAAATAAATTTACGAAGAATATTGAAATAAATGGTTAGGGAGGCCTCAATATTAAAGATTAATTCACCTCTCTGCTGGGAACTTCGCATTCATAAAAAAACAATAATAAATAAAATGTACGAAAATCAAAAATAAAAAGTAGAACAAAACCATATGAATATTAATTGGAAACACTTGGTTTGTTCTAAGATCTCGAATGAATATACGAAGGCAAACTTGAAGAAATACGCACTGATTTATTGCGCTTCCTCCATAGGAACCATCGATTAAAAAAATAAAATAAATAAATAAAAAGAAAAGTGAATAAGGGTTATGATGCTCAGTGAATACGAACCATAAGAATGGAAAAGATCTTGTTGCAGAGTTATCTGCAATCGATTATCGTTTCTCTTCATTGCATTTGATTAGTTTTGTTAAAAGAAGAATTCAATATATGTTTATTGAAGAAGAAGAGAATGAAAAACAAGTTTAGGTAGGGGCGGCTACAAAAGCCTCGAATCAACTGAAGAAGGGGATTAGGGTTTGGTGACAGGAACTTGAAGGTCCTTTATATAGCTCGTAATGTAAACCGATTCACTGTTGCGGAAAAAATAGGGCTTCTAATACCCAAAAACATAATGGGCTTCTCCAAAATTGAGATTTTTTTTTTGTTGATAATATTTCACTATAAAAATTTATATACTCAATATATTAGTTGTCTTTATTATTAGTAAAGGTGAGTATGAGTGAGATTGGACCTAGTAATGTTTGACTGGACCTTTTTTGAGCATTAACTCGATTTTAGATTTAAATCTCACCTAGGTCTCAATATCGACTGTATCAGCTTTTGGACAAGAATATAACCCTACACCCACTTAAGTATAATAAATATCATTTTTAATTATAGTTTTCTCAATATTACTTATTATTATAAATATGTAATTTGATATATGAAATGATATATATATATATATATATTGTTAATCATGTATATATGATAAAAAATTATATACACATATATATTGTTAAATCATTATTTTATACATAATTGAATAGATGTACATATAAACATGTCAAATGAGTGATCATATATATGATGAGTTGGGTTATATTAGTCCCTTACACTATTCTAAATATTATTTGTGAATAATCAATGATTATTAAACATAAATAATGAACGATGAAATGACAATATATTAAATTTGTATTTTATTAGTGCATATATTTTTACTTTCCTATTACGGTTCTCTAGATATCACAAATTTTAGAAGTATATTTTAACATTGTCCTTAAAAAAATTTATATACATTCAATCAATTATTCATTTTTTATTTGTATTACATTTAAGGATGTTACATCAATACACCATTAGTGTAAAGATTTATATATAATTATTCAATATTTATTTGTTTTATTTTTTGAAGAGTCAATGATAACTGAATATAAATGATAGACGATTCAGTATTTGTATAAAACTTATACACTATTTGTACATATATTTATCTCTAAATTTAAAAGTTAGTAATAAATAAATATGATTGATACACGAAACAATGACCATCGTAAAAAACTTAGACTATCGATACTTACATTCCTCAAACTTTACATGAAAATTGAAATGCTCCATAACTATATAGCCTTTAGTATGTTTTTGGATAATAATTTGTAAACATAATTTTAAATAAAGATTTTTGTGTGAAATGATTTTAGTTAAAAGCTTTGAATTGAAAGTTTGTGTTTGGGTATCCATTGAGTAAAATAATCTTAGTGGGTTTAAACAGCTTTTATCAAAAATGATTTCTAAATGTGCAATTTATCAAAAAATGTCCATTTTTTAACAAGTTCATATTTATTTATTTAGTTATTTTCTAACTTCTTAACAAGTGATTTTTTTTCTTTCCAGATTTCGATGACCATGAGTGAAAGAATATGGGATTAACAATTTAACGTTATTATTATAATGAAAATGCAAACTTAAAACAAGTTAAACAAATTAAATAAAAAAAAGTCATTTATTAATTAAATACGAAATTGAACTAAATTATAAATGAAAATAAGGAAGCAAAAGTATAATTAAGCTAATGATTTTAAGAGACACCGTGACAAAAATTCAAGGAAATCATCAAGACAAGTAAAATCACGACAAAGTAACAACTTTTATGACTGATTAAAAGCAATTTCATATTGTTAAAATCTATTTCAAGGCTGAAAAGACCACCTAAATAGCTTTTGCACGGGTTCAAAGTTAAAAACTCATGTAATGGAAAGTAATAGTTAGAGCATGCAATATCAGAAATCGAATCAATAGGCAACATGCACCAGAATCTTACCTAATAGAATTTTCCAATGGTATCTCTTCACATTTCTTTTAGTAAGGAAATAATCCCCTTTTATAAGGTGCATAACTCTCTCTCCCGATAAGTGTCGATACCATAAATCGAATTTTTAACTTTTGGTTATTCTTACACAACTAAAAGTCTAAAATAATAGTGATATGAATTCAGATCTTCTATGCCATTTCCCTATGCCTAACTCACACCAATACAATGCCTTACCAAAGGAACCCAAATCAATACATGAATGAATATCACAGCAACATAGCTCAATTTATTGGTCCATGGATGCACTTCAGACTTTTTCCAATCAAGCGACCCAAAAAAGTAAAAAGCAGTTACCAAAAGAAAATACCATTATATCAAATCTATTTTTAACTAACCATAAAAATTCAAATACTTATTCAACAACTACTAAAACAACTAAACAAGTCCAACACCATTTGAAGCCAGCAACATCCATATGCTTGTAGCAAAATTATAAACTACAACCATCCATACCCGCAAACATACCAACCTGAATACTAAACAGGGTTTGGTATTAATGGCAAAATAAACAAGGCTCTGGTGTAGGGAAAAACTCAGCTGGAGCATCCATCTTAACAGTACAAACCTTTAAACACTAAGCTAACTTGTCTTTCAGACCTTTTGGGATCTTACTCAATATCTTACTCAAGACCTTCGCATCAAAGACAGAGTATTGCTTTTTGATCTCAATGAGTGCCTTCTCTGCCAATGGGTCTATTTTATCCTCATACTTGGCATACACGACAGGAACCGTGTGCAATAAAACAAAAACTGCCCCGGAAATGAAGATTATACAAATCGGTAAACTTCATACAGAAATATTAGAAATTTTAAAAGTAATTAAAATGAGTATAAATTATCCTTACTTATGTAGAACAAGGTCAAGAAATTGAACCAGTTCCCCACAATTGATAGAGTCCACAGCCCAGCAATGACCTAACATAAAAAACATCAACCAAGGCATGATATTAGTTCATTTCTTAATTGAAGCTAAACATAACACTACATCTGATATCACCGAAAAGCAATTGCTGAAGTCTACAAAGTCCAAAACATATATATATATTTAACATGGGCATGGAATTAGAAGTTCGCAAGTATCATACGAATAGGAATGTCTTCAAATCTTTTCCAGAGCCAATATTACGCAGGACAGCAAATCCACGGTTGATTTCGATTCTCAATGCAGATGCAACTTGCAGGAATGGTTCTTCGGGGAGATGAACTTCTGGGATGTGAGGAGGAGACCTTCAATTTTATTTATCATCACACATACACAAATGGTTAGATAAAAACATATCTTGAAAATTACATTACTACTATGACTTGGTTGAATAATAAACAAGATCCATTTCTTACTTGTGGATGAAGGTATGAGCATTGGACCACAAAAACAGAATTGCAAGCAATAGAATTGAAATGTGACAGACTAGAGTGAGAAGGTGATATTCTAGCAACTCAAAAAAGACCCAAACAGCAGTTGCTCCCCCAAGTACACCTGCAGATACCTTCTTGTTCTTCCACAAAAACACGTCAGCAGCTGCAAGCAATTACTGAATTTATTACCAAAAATAATTATAACAAAAAACAAACATATTTAACTAAGACATGTTTAGAAAAGATAAAACTGTTATAGATTTAGTCTTGACATGTTTACAAACTAAAATATGCGGGGGGGGGGGGGGGGGGGGGGGGGGGGGGGGGGGATTATTATAGGAAAATTTGTATTTAGAAAAGGTAGAAATTTGAAGCTTATTGAAATTCGTTTTTACTATGGTAAAAAATCACAATTTTCTGATTCATAATCTATCAAATAAATATTGATCTAAACAGCTGATAAAAAATTGTTATAAACAAAGATGAAAAAATGTATGCACTGAATACAATGTTAAAATTGATTCAGTCTTCTAAAAAAAGTAATACAAATGAATGGTACATGAGATAATGATTCTGTATAAATCTTGTACCTATAAATATTACACTCATAAACAAATATCATCATACCATTTTTAACTAATAATTATATAAAAGTGATGTTTTTTTACCCAAGTATAACAGGAACAAATTATTTTAAAATTGCCTCAAAGAAGAAGGTGATCCCATTATAATAATTCATTAAAAATAATATACTTTTTGAAACTCATCCAAACACGCTCACAGAGTATATGCAAATCAATTCTACATTATTCTGGATGCAAAAATTCTGAATCATGTCTTTCCCAAGAGTTACACAGTTAAGTTGCAGGTTAAGGATTATTCATCAAAAAGTTCACTGACTATAATCATAGGTCACTCGAGAACATATTTCAAAAGATTGTTCATAAATACAAAACACTTAGATCTATCTGAAAATTTAACAAAACACATCATTTCAGAATTTACTTTTTTCGATAATCAATAAATGGTATAGCCATTCCATTAAATCAACTCAGATCACAGATCTAGTAGAATTTAGAATAACAAATAAACACGTTAGAGAGAAAATTATACCCTTTCCACCGCCAAAAACGGAATGAACTGGCTTCTCTCTCCCGAAAAGACGAAACACCTTTTCCTTAATAGATGAAGCAACATTTGTATCGGAATCAGAATCGGAGTCGGAGGATGAAGAATCGTGACCGTGAATCTTCTCTGTTATCTTCTCAATCAACGATTCTCCATTCCTCTCGGTCTCTTCTGCCATTTTTGTCCGAAAATGATTATCCGAAAAATTCGATTTTATCAACAGATTGAAATAAATATTTTCTTTTCTAGCCGCTGTGTAAGAAACGAGAATCTCGCTTTGCTATTTATAGTGTTACGAATCACGAGGCTCGGGATTCGAACCTCTTAGGTTCGGGAGGAAATTTGAAATTGAGAAACGGAGAAGGACACGGCGTTTGAATTTTGAAGCTGGTGAGGTGTTTTTGTTAGCGCTGTAGGGATTGACGGCGTTTGTTTTTATTGTAGAGGCTAGGGTTATGCTATAGTTACTGACTTTTACAGAGTGGATTCCTTCGTGACTAAGTGATTGACATGTTAAAGGTGAGGGGACAGGTGGCGGTTAATTGGACCCATAATTGAATAAAGATTTATACATAATTAAATCATTCTTTTATATTTTTTGAAGAGTTAATAATGATTAAATATAAATTTTAGGTGACCCTTGATAATTAATTAAAGTT